TGATGGGAGGGAACGGCGAGCAGGTCAGGGCCGACATGCTCTACCAACGTGCGGATCATGGGATCTCCATGCTGCCGCTGTCGTGCCGGGTTGCGATCCGAGCTGCTCGTCTGATATACTCTGAGATCGGTAACATGCATGTATCCTCCTTCCACTCCTTGTACTTCTGTTTCTGCTGTCCTGCCAATCCTTCTGTCGCCTAGCTTGCCTCTCTGTCCTTTCCCACCACCTCGCTCCCCTCTAGCATCGATCATCGATGCCTGCCTGCCTCCTTCTCCCTCCACACCTGCTTGCCTGACCATCTGCTCCTTACCAAAGGTACAAAGCTCAAGAAGAATTCGTTCGATAGCAATCAAAAAGGAAGAGGGAGAGGGAGAGGGAGAGGGAGAGGGAGAAGGGAGGAGCAGAGAGAGGAACCGTAGGGGATGGAGGTTCAGAAAGTAGGAAGAGGGTTGGTCGAGGGAGAAGAGAGACATAACGAACGGCAGGAGGGAAAGAGAGGGAAAAGTGGGAAGAGGTAGGGGAGGATAGCATGTGTGAGACGAGGTAGAGAGGGAAACAGGGAAAGGCAGGGGAGTGGTGCGATGAAAACAGATAGGAAGACCACAGGAGATTATGTGCGCAAATAAAAAGCAAAGAATGCAATTAGCGTATAAAGGTAGAGGGGGAAGCCTGCTCATGATATGATGGAGATGTTATTCTCTTGTGATTCCTGGATTCATTTGTGGGTCAAGCGGGAGGAAGGGGAGGATGGAGTAGCACACCTAATCTCCTGCTGCAGGTCACTAGAACATGATGCATTCACTACCTGCATCCGTGCAGAGCAACGGAGGTCTGACAAACTTGTACGCGTCTTCTCCTGGACAGGTAAGTCGATATTATTCGAGGGTCTCATGATGTAGTGCTGAATCCGCTTGTAGTTGCAAACTTCTACGACCCACCAGGTCCCCCAGACATTCCCGTCGAACCAGATGCCGGCTTCGATCTCCCAGCAGATCTCCCACCAGACGCCCACCAGTCAAACTGCTCAGAATAGCGTCATCTCCACTCAGTACATTCCGCATCAGTCTCAGACCTTGACGGCCCCCACCATCAGGATCAAAGCTGATTCCGTGTACAAGCCTGACTATCCTCGCGAGTCCGGCGGGTTTGACTCGGCGAGCTTCTACAACGGTGTGCCTAGCGGTATAGGAGGAGGCCGTCCTGCCACGGACTCCGGGTCTCTCGTGTCTGTGCCGGGAGGTGGACACATCATGCCGACGTTGGACGGTCTTGTCATTCAGCAGGTCAAAGACAACTCCTCGCTGCGAGTTGACCCGAGAGACTACACGGGTTACAACGGAGTAGTCACCTTGGTGGACTGCAAGAACTCGAGGATCCAATTGGTTGGGCAAGTGATCAAGCTCTCATTGGGAAGGTGACTTGAGTACCTTCTTTGACTGAACCTCAATATGCTGTGATCAACGTTGCGTTGATTGTTTCTCGTTCTCCTTGTCTCTTTCCATGTCGACCAAGTCATCAGCTGAACTTGGCTTCACGTCAGATCGGAACATGTTGTCATGTCTGTCGAGGCGCTCTCCGAAGCTTTCTCTGTGGACAGCAGCTCAGATTGCACCATCGCAATCGCGGGAAAACTTCCTCCTGTGCAGATCAAAGTGAGTTGAAGACCAGACTAATCGATATGAACTTCATTCGCTCCTCTTTCTCTCCCTCGTCTCCATGCACTCCTTCCTTTTTCCTCTCCCTTCTTGCTCACGCGTTCTTCATTCATCAGTTCAGCAAGGGAATATCGATTGTTGCTATCAAGAACTTCGCGCAGGATGTGATTGAGACGCATACTTGTAACCGTTGTCTGTAAATCTCTCAAACCTAATGACATGAGACAGGCGAGGGAATATCTCTTCACCCCGTGGAGACGAACTCTTCCATGAGCGCCGAGTGAGTTACCCTCTCCTCTCCTCTCCTCTCCTGTCACGGTTTCTTCCTCTGTTGCTCTTTGCTGTTGGGTTGCCTACTTCTCCTCTCCCCCCCACTTCTCTTCCTAACTCTCCACCTCCTCCCGCCCCCCTTCGACTACTGTGAATAGAAAGCTCTTGGCGCAGCGTCATGACGCTGACGCTGTCTTCGTCCCGGACGGCATCGGCGTCATTCAGGTGCTCAAAGGGCCAGGGGGGGGGGAGGTTGACAGAGGGAACAGCAATCTTCCATGGGCTGGCATCGATACCAGCATATGTTGCAGAAGGTTGGCATTGGCCTCCTTGTCGAGTCTGTCGTCCAGTCCGACCTCGGGTACACTTTTCCTCGTACTCCCTCCCTCCCTCCCTCCCTCCCTCCCTCCCTCCCTCCCTCCCTCCCTCCCTCCCTCCCTCCCTCCCTCCGCTCAACTCGCCTCTGCGTCTCGATCCTCCTCCTCACTCTCTCCTTGCAGGGGACAGGAAGCGCCTCGTCATCACGGAGCTGGTAGAGGGCAGCTCGGCTCAGACCTGCGGGGCAATCAAGCCTGTAAGCTTGACGAGCGTGCAAGAGCACGAGCTGAGAAGTTTATCCAGGGCGACTACCTCGTCAATGTTGATGGCATCTCTGTTGAGAAGATGAGCCCCCAACAAGTTTCCCAGCTGACCAGGGGCAATGTTGGGACGACTTGCAACGTGACCATCACAAGAAAAGATTCAGAGTTCGTTTTCCTCTCCTTTTCCTCTCCTCTTTTTCATTCTCCCCTCCTCCTCCCCGTCTCAACCACAACCACTTCCTCTCCTCCTCCTCCTTCTGGTCCTCCTACTCCTCTCTGACGCTTCTCACAGCCAAGTTGTCGTTGTTCCTCTCCAGAGGAGGAAGCCACAAGTCTTCAAGGACATGGTTTGCCTCCCCTCCTTCCTTCCCTGCTCTTCTCTTGTCTCGCCTCTCACTCCTTCTTGTTCTCACTCCCTCTACTTCGCAGCCTTCAATGCCAGCTCCCATCTTCAGGCCGGACGTTCCCGTGTCTTCAAGACCTCAGACTCAAACAGGAGGCCCTGGGGGCTTCTTTGGACCTCAAAGCTCTTCTCTTGCTCCTGCTCCTGCTCCTGCTCCTGCTCCTGCTCCTGCTCCTGCTCCTGCTCCTGCTCCTGCTCCTGCTATGAACTCCCAGGCCGGAGGTCACCCGCAGTCCAGAGGCAACAGCCTCGTGCCCCTCCCGCTCCCTCCTCAGCTCGCAACATGCGCACTGTGTCTCTTGTTCGTGGAATGAGGTTAGTGGAGGAGCATGAGGCGGAGCAGGATGCAGGGGCAGGGAAGGAGGAGGAGGAGGAGGAGGAGGAGGAGGAGGAGGAGGAGGAGAACGAAGCTTACGATGATTGTTGAGCAGCACGAAGGGAGGGATGGCAACTTCCGTCACAGTCACACCTGACGGTCTCCATGGTATCGGCATCAAGTTCATAGCCTTCGCTGGAGCAGACAAACCAGTTCACATCGATTTCGTGGACCCAACGGTAGAATCCTCCTCCCTCCTCCCTCCTTCCTCCTCCTCCTTCTCTTCCTCCCTCCCTCCACACACAGCCCCTTCCCCTTCCTCGATTCTTCTCTCTTCCTCCCCTCTCTTATTTCTCCTCCTCGATCTTCGTCATCTCGGCTTTCCACCATCCACCGCATCCTACTTGTGCTCTTTCCCTCCACCGTCTCCTGCTCTGCTGATTTCTCCCTGCCTTCTCCCTCCTCCTCTTTCCCTGTGTCTTTCCCCTTAACCGCAACATTTTCCTCATATCCTCTTCCTGCTTCCCCTCCTTGTCCTCATCCCCGTCCCCCTTCTCTTCCTCCTCCTGATCTACTCTCAGGGCCCAGCTGGTACCTCCGGGCAGATCATGGAGGGCGATGAGATCTGGAGCATCGACGGTCACTCGGTCGTCGGCCTGTCAGCCAACGAAGTTACTTCGCTCATCCGCGGCAAGCTGGGAACGGTCGTGACCCTCCAGCTGACCTCAAAGACCGCATAAGATGAGGAGGGGGAGGAGGAGGAGGAGGAGGGGGAGGGATGGGAGGGCGGGAGGAGACGATCTCCTCATCTTCTGCTTAGGGTTTCCCAGGGTAATGGGGGGAATGAGGGGGCAGCAGCAGCTTTGTACCAGATTTACTTCCACGTTGACAAAAAGTTTACAACTTGAGATACACATTTACCTTTCCTCCTTCTCTGAATCTCCTTCCACCTGCCTTCTCCCTCTCTCCTCCTCTTCTCTTTCTTTCATGGTTCATCTTTCTTGTACCATATTGTTCTCCCTCCCTCCATCTCCTCTTCTCATCTCCCAATTCTCCTCCCTGCCTCTCCCTCCCTCCCGCTGTGCTCCCTGATCTTCCCCCCTCCCTCCGTTGTCTCTTCCTTCTCTGCTCTCCCTCTCCTCCCTCCTCTTTCTCCCCCTCCTCTAACTCGTTCTCCTCCATCTCTCTCCACTCTCTCTCCTTCTTCCTTCTCTTCGTTCATGTGATGCTCTCGTTAGTGTTCATCTTGTCCTGTACCATCAGCCACACTGGCTCCTCTCCGCTCCTCGCAAGCTCATGCATGGCAACACGAACGTTCATGGCCAACCGCTGCGAGCGAGATCAGCGAACAGTCGTGAGAGGAGGGCGAGGACGAAGAGCAGCAGCAGCAGCAGCAGCAAGATCATTTGTTTCACCTCCTCCTTGAATGTCTTCTGCACCACCTGAGCTGCCTCATACTTGACTCCAAACATCTTCTCATCCTCCTCCACCTCCTCCCTCGCCTTCTGCGCGTGCACCACCAGGTCTCCCGCCATCCCCGCCTCCTCCTCCTCCTTGTTCCGTCTGCTGTAGCCTCGGCCCGCCAGCAGGTTGTAGAAGTTGGACAACACGACGACAAGTCGCTTTCTCGCGCGGTCGAGGAGGAGGAGGAGGCGGTTGAAGGCGAGGTAGAGGAGGCCGCAGAGGAGGAAGAAGACGATGCCGCCGATGATGGAGAGGATGAGGAGAAAATTGAATTGAGTCTTCTCCTCGAAGCAGCCCGTACTGCTCCATCGTTTCAATGCCACGTTCCTCCCTCCCTCCCTCCCTCCCTCCCTCCTCTCTCTCTCTCTCCCTCCCTCTCTCACCTTGTTCCGTCTACAGCACATCCGAGGAATCCGAGTCCCTTGCTCAACTGCGTCTTCACGTACGAGCACCACAAGGGCTTGCATTGCGCCTGTTACTCGTTCAGACTTTGCTCCTGCTCCTGCTCCTGCTCCTGCTCCTGCCCCTGCTCCTCGTCCTCTCGTCCTCTTCCTTTTCCTCTCCCTCTGCTCCTCCTCCTCCTCCTCCTCCTCCTCCTCCTCCCATCCAACCTGGCAGATCCCGTCAGGGATACTCGAGGGTGGGAGGTAGAGCACGGAAGGATTCAGCTCCTCCTGCTTGCACTTTTCGTTGACGCACTTCCACAGCTCAACGTCGTCCTCCAGGTAGCGAACGTACTCGTCGTAACGGACTGAACCGTCTGAGTCGTCCCAAGGAAGCGGCCATGCTCCTGGCCAGGAAGTGATCAGAAGATGCGAGAAGAAGGAGGAGGAAGAGCAGGGGTAGGAGGACGACGACGACGACAAGGGAGAGGAGGAGGAGGAGGAGGATCAAGATGAGGAGGAGCAGAGACAGCAGGTGGAGGAACGAGGAGAAGGAGGAGGAGGAGGAGGAGGAGTGTGACGAGGAGGAGGAGGAGGAGTAGGACGACGACGAGGAGGAGGAGGAGGAGGAGGAGCAGCGAGCAGCAGCAGCAAGACGAGGGGGAGGAGGAGGAGGAGGAGGAGGAGGAGGAGGAGGAGGAGGAGGAAATTTTACGAGATTTTGGACTCGGTCGACGGTCACACTGTCTGACAACTTTTCCTGACTTATCAACCTGGTGGACAAGAAACTCACGCTCGCCAGAGAGAGAGAGAGAGAGAGAGAGAGAGAGAGAGAGAGAGAGAGAGAGAGAACAGGAGGAGGAGGAGGAGGAGGAGGAGGAGAAGAAGAAGGAGAGGAGGGGGGGTTCACCTCTAGTGTGAGCGAGGAGGAGTTCAAGCTTTGAACGGTCACGGGGCAAGTGACAAACTTGCTGCAGAGCGCGAGGTCGCAGTCCTTGGAGGAGGAGCATGACTTGCCGATGCTGTCGGAGGAGGGCAGCTTTTGACACGATCGCACGAACCCGATGCTCTGCTTCAAGTCAGAACTCAAACAGTCCGTATGATCTTATACGCTTCTCTGCTTCCTTTGCCCTCTCGTTTCTGCTGCTCTCCGTCCTTCCCTTTCCTCCCCCCACACTCTTATCCCTCCTTCAACTGAGTCCCTTCCCCTGCTGCCTCCCTCCCCCTCCCTCCCCCTCCTCCCTCCTCCCTCTCCTCTCCCTCCCTCCCTCCCTCCCTCCCTCCACACTCCCCTCTTCCTCCCTCCCTTCACTTCCCTCCTCACTCACTTCTCCTCCTCCCTCACACCTGAATCTTCAGCGTGCCATCAAGCGTCAACTCCCCACGTTCCAGTAGCCCCAGGAGGTGTCAATCGTCTCGACCTCCAGCGCACTTGTAGTCACTTGTAGGAGCAGACCTGCCTCCGCTGTGCTTCCTACTCCGATCTTCCATCCTCCAAACTCCTCATCCCTCCACAGCCAGTATCCTTTGCCGTTGTTGTACCTCCTCACCTTCACCCCGTCCCGCTGTCCACCTTGTCCACCGTAGTCTGTTCGAACACTCCGAGCGAGCGAACTTTGAGGGGGAGGGAGGAGGAGGAGGAGGCTGGGAAAGACAGAGTAACCCGATGTCCTGTGATGCCGCCGTATCCACTCTGACACGAGCATCAAGCGCGCGGTAGCACAGAGAGCGGCCTACCTGACATATGACGGGACAAGTTCCGATGTTGCACTTGATGTTTTTCTCGCACTCAGTCACAGACGGCTGCTTCCCGTCCACATTGATGATCTCCTCTCCACAGTACGACTGGAGAGAAGGAAGACTTGGCCTGCTGTACTTTGCAAGGCACTTCCAATCTCCTTCCCCCGCCTTGGACTCCATGCACACAGCAAGTTTCTCAAGACAGGCTCCCTCCTCCGCGCTCTTGGGGTTGCAAGGGTCTCCTTCCATGAGGAGAGGAGCGCAGAAGGGGGGGGAAGAGGCATCGCTCAAGTTCCTGTGGCAAGCAAATCCCACCGAACATTCTTGCTGGCCCATGCTACAGGTCTGTAACGACGTCTTACCCGAGCAAGTCTTGTTCTGGCACAGCAGCGACCCCTGGCACTCTTGGTCGGAGCTGCAGGGGTCACCAGCCATCCTGTTGATGCTGCACTTGAAGTTGATGCACCTCAGCCCCGGCTGACAGTCGTCGTCCTGCGAGCAAGGGTCTCTTATCTTAGCAAGCCTCTTGCATGTCCCAGTCGACTGGCAGCCATAGCTCACACCACACGTCCGCTCGACCCCTCCAGGTCCACCAGCTCCTCCGCATGCGATGCCAGCCTTGAGTTTCTTCTTGTCACTCAAGCACACGACCCCGATGCACGATCCCTCCTGCCGCCGCCCTCCTGTCTGATACTCTGTCTTGTCGCTTCCTTCCCTCGACGTCTGAATCAGACCTCCTCCTCCTCCTCCTCCTCCTCCTCCTCCTCCTCCTCCTCCTTCTCCCATTGCCATGCTGCCCATCAACACGATCGCAAGGGTCAAAGTTGACGCCATGGCAATGGTTTGCTTCAACACCGGTCCCCCCTCTGTCCTATAACCCCACCCCCCTTCAAGGTTTCTCATTCTTGACCCCCTCAAGGTCCCTCATTTCATAGTCACGCTATTATATTACAAGAAAGAATACCCCACCTACTCCACCCCTACCCCTCGCTGAAATGTAAAGAATGACCCTCACCCCCTCGTCATTGACAATGCTCTGTCAAAAGTCGTGTACTGTACGATCATCCAGCCATTCCGTTAATTCTGCGAAGAAGAAGAATCAACAAGTACACAAGTACAACAAAGAGCAGGAGCAGGAGCAGGAGCAGGAGCAGGAGCAGGAGCAGGAGCAGGAGCAGGAGCAGGAGCAGGAGCAGGAGCAGGAGCAGGAGCAGGAGGAGCAGGAGGAGGAGGAGGAGAATGAAGAGGAAGAGGAGGAGGAGTAGGAAGAGGAAGAGGAGGAGCGCTTGCAACCCAACATTCCAGACATCCAACTCACTTTTCTGCTGATGCTTAACCTCTTCAATAGAGATGTCATCCTGCCAACACATTGTTAGAAACAAGGGCATGTCATCGGAGCAAACAAGAACCTTGGAGAATTTCCTTGCTGATCCCATGGGAGAATTTCTCCCCCTCCTCATCTCCATGAAGATCAAGTCGTCATCCCTCGAAAGCCGTCGGATCGCTCGGAAGCCTTTCACCGGTCGATATGCGTTGTAAGTTGGCCTGCTCTCAGTCTTGGCTGACTTCTTTCCCACACTCCGGGCAGTCGAAGCTCGACTGGTCGCCTGGTCCAAATCCTCATTGAAATATTTGGAGATGACAGTGAGAGGGATCTCAGTTTGAGCCTTCTTGAACGACTCTGTGAACAGCGCTTGCAGTTGCTTGTGAATGTCCAGGAGAACTTCAAAGATCTTGGGGTTCTTCTGGAACATCAAAGAAAACTCTTCCTCAGTGAGATTGTCAAAGGATTCCATGTTCAGTTTCTCGTTCATCATAGTTTCGATCTTCAACCGCCCCCTGTAGAAGATATGAAGGAAGGTTTTGACAGCAGGAAAACTTCACCTGGCCCGCGCAAACTTGTTGGAGTACCTGAAGTCCAGAATGTAATCTCGCAGCTCATCGAAAGAAACGTATCCGTCTGCAAAGAGCAGGTCAGGGAGCAGTTATAACCGATCATACAGACGCTTACAATTGTTTGCGTCGAGCATTTTGAAACAAAAACGCGCTCTTGCATCGGGACTGATGTAGCTGTTGAAATGAGCAGCTACTATCAAGAACTCCTTGAAGTTGATCTGCCCGTCCCGTGAAGCGTCAAGGGCGTTGTAGATGTAATACATCTTTGAGGAGAGAGACAGTGAGTGAATCTCGAGACAAGAAGCAACAGAAAAACCTTTTGATCCTCGATGCCGAGATTCAAGATGTTAGCGATGTCGGATCTATCAAGAACCTGCAAACCAAGGAGTCAGCTTTGGCAGGCTTCTCAATGATCGGAAAGAAGTCATGCTGGTGTTTTGGTTGCAGAAACTTCTTCTTGGAATGATTCACACTCACCCCTTTCTTGCTGCCCCCAATGGATTGGAAGAGAGATAGTGCGTCGGACAGGTTAGCTGTTGTGAGGTTGAGAAGGATAGTAAACTGCTCCATGTCAGTCTGCGATAGTAGAAGCAGATCCCTCGTCCTCCCCCAACGTCCCTGTTGCAACCAAACAATCGATGAGCCATTCCAAACAAGCAGCGTCGCTCTGCTAGTTCACCTCGAAGATCTTCCGATTGATGTTCTTGACCTCGTCCTTCACTTTTTCGGGGGTCTCAGCGTAAGTGCGATTGTTCATGATGAGTTTGTCGGCTCTGATTTTCCCCTCCTCTTGAAGAAAGTGCTCGTCAATGTGATCCACGATCGGATCTATCACCCCATGCGCGACTGATGCCATGCAGCCCATCCTCACGGGTCAGTGCACAAGCTTGATCGGCTGGATCGAGACGCTTACTCGATGCAAGTTGTGATTCATAGATTAGCTATCCAATCATCTACTGTGCTAGAAGGATATCTCGCTTGAAGCATATCCCCCACGTCCTGCTATTGCCACCTGCTGTTTCGCTTGTCCAACTTTCGCTCTGAAAACTTTCTCTCCTTATCTACGACAAGGCCTTGATCTTGACCAGCGGGTCGCGCCTTGTCGGTGCATACTCACGCTCAGGTTCTGCTGGCAGTCTGCTCTTGTTCTTCACCTTCTCCTTGTTCTCCTTTTTCGCACGCCTCCTTGTTTATACTCGCTTTCCTCCATCGACTTCATCCTGTATCCTGCGACTGATGTAAGCTGCTCGGACCGGGGGGTGGGGGTACGAAAATTGAATGTAGGGGTAGGTACCTAGTACCAACGCCGGGGGTAGGTGTACCTACCCTACCGTGTGGATACAGCAAACATGAGATGTATTTATCAGAGCAAGAGGGGTGGTTCAAAAGTTGTAGATTGGGTGGTGGTTGAACAGGTTTGGGGTGGGAGGGGGGTGGGTTATCAAGTTGGGAGCAAAAAACTAAGATATAAATACTCTTAGAGTGTATGGATAGGAGGAATAGAGCAGAGCAAGTTTGAGTTTCTGGGGGTGGTGTTTGCCCGGTAAGTTTACGTTTAGGGGTGGGGTGATGTACCCCACGGTGCTGGACGAAGACAAGTTCAGCAGAACTTCGGAAGCAGGGTGATGGTAGTGGTAACTACTGATGAAGGAAGGTAGGGGTGGGACTGTAGCAGGGGTGGGGTACTACGGTACGACTCAGAAATGAGGGGTGTCCTGTGGGTCAAATCTCCCTCACGCCATGTCCACCGGAGCACCGGAGTCTTTCGAGTTCACCTGGGGTCGGGGTGGGGGTGGGGTATGTGGTACTACCGTAGGAGTGGGCCAGAGTCACCAGTGGGAGGGGGTAGGGTGGTGCGAGGGCTCCGATAGGGCCGTCCAGCCTTGCCCGGAAATCCTTGCAAAAATCATTATAAAGAGAAAATGGGTGCCCCCTACCCCATGGTATCTAGGGACCGGGTTAGTGGCCCAGTGGTGAGTGGTGGGTAGGGGTGAACTCGGGACTAGTAGTACACTTTATGGCTTCAACCACCCGTGGTTCGCTTCAAATTTTTGGGGCCCCACCTTCGATCGGCCTCACGACCTAAAGTGGAAAAGTAATCATTTCAAAGTAGCTCGGTGCCACATCCCGTAGTAAATTTGGTAGTGAGGCATTCAATGATTACTAATCCGACGGTAGGGGTGCTGGTAATCTCATCATGGTATTTTACTACACATACGGTTGTAGGGTTAAACTCTTCACTGACCTACCGTCACGGCGTCCGTCCGAGTATCGGGGCCCCGGGGCCCGGCCGTGGCCCAGAGTCAACACGGGCCCGGGGCGTGGCACCGTACGGTGACACGGCGCACTGGCCGGTGTACCCGAGCCGATGGCATGATCCTCGTACTGATTGTTAACTCAACTTTGAGTAAATATGATCGGATGGGACTCCGGGAGCCGGAGAGTAGGCACCGATGTCATAGTTGTAGTAGACGATGCCCCTGAGCGGAAAGCGGTGATCATCCTGTTCAGCAGATCCATCTGCTTATCCATCACGGGGAGTATCAAATCAGTGAGGTTGTAAAGGAGCTCGAACCAGTTCAGGTTGCTCTCGTAGATCTTGTCATCGTGCTCCTGGTTCTTGTCACTGTAGTGCTTCTTGATCGAGCCGTCACACTCCAAGTGCAGGATCACAACCCTCTCGGTGCCGGACTGGTTGAACTTGAACAGGGTGTCGGGCCTGCTGTCACACTTGGCGAACTGCCTCTCGTCCATGATAAACTCGATGTGGTAGTTGTCATACTGCTTTGCTAGATTCTCGTACACCCAGATGCTCTCGTCCTGGGCGCAGCAGCCCCTTATGTTGGTGGGAGGCTGATCCTGCTCAACCTCATACACCACCCAAGCTTCCACGCCAACGTCGCACTCCCCTCCATCACAAGCATACTCAACCCAAGTCCCCAACCAGACCCTACCAGAGAGGGACATGCTCATTGTGGTCCTCACCATGGACAGGACAGCCTCCCTGGCAAGGCGGTACGGCTCCAGGGTCATCATCGACCTCCACGTCATGCAGGACAGGCTGCCGGACGAGAACCTTGACCTCAGGACCAAGGAGATGCTGGAGACCTACAGGTGGAACCATGGCTCCTCCGTCTCCTTGACAGGTGGTTCATGGAAGCTGTTCTCCAAAAGCTCCCGAGATACACACGAGGAGACGCTATATATCTCGTCCAGTCAGACGCCCGCGTGCTGCTGCTCTCAAACCAGTAGAACATGACCGACGCATCTCCTCTGATTTTCACAGGAGGGAGAACCTTGCGTTGAGTTGCACAACTCTGAGAGAGTGTAAACAAGGCGCTGCCCACTCAGTTGTCGTGCGAGGAGAGGTTTTTCCTCAATTTATAGTTTCATCAATAAATTTGACAGAAAAAAACTGGAATCCTCTGAGATTCCTACCGAGAGGAAATGGGTCTGCCCTACTTTCTGGGCTGGCTTGTCTCCCACAAGGTTTGCGCAAACATGGCTGGGGTTTACTATGAGATGCTACTGTCTCTTACCCTCTCCTTCCTTGCGCTTCCAGCCGTCGATGCCTTGTATCCCTGCATGCCTCTTGGGCCAACTCCACATGGGAAGTCACTTGCTCCAAGCCGCAAGATGTGGACTGGAACTGAAGTTGCTCGACCGTCCTTGTTGAGGTACGCCAAGAATCCCCTTTGAATCAAGCAAGCAAGTGAGCTGTAGTATGATGTCATCGTCAACGACATGGCAAGGAGGGAATGACAGAGAAAATGTTCTGCCATGAGTTCACAGGTCGCCACGAGCTTTAGATGTACGAATGCACAAAGAGTATAACGAATAGATGCAGCAGAATCTCAGGAACCCGTATGACAATCAAAAAGATTGAGGTTCTTGTATTTATGGATGTTGATCAGGGCAAAGAAGCGTGAGCCGGACACCGAAGAAAGTGACAAAAAGCTCATGAATGCCCAGAATGACGGCATCGACGCTCGTTTGCGAGTCAGGCAGGCAGGGACTCGAGGAGGCTCTGAGCTCAGGAGACAAGACCAAGATCGCAGACGCTCGTCTGCGAGGAGACAAGACCAAGATCGCAGACGCTCGTCTGCGAGGAGACAAGACCAAGATCGCAGACGCTCGTCTGCGAGTCAGGCAGACACGGCTCAAGGACAGTCTCTGAGCTCAGGAGACAAGACCACCATGTATGCGCTCCCTCTGCATCGAGCGGATGGTGGAGAAGGAGCTTTCTTATCAGGTGAGTCAAGATGTCAGCATCAATAACGTTTGACTGATGATTGCTAGCTTTGCATCAGCTCGCTCAGAAAGTTAAAATGGACACAATTTTGTCGTCCTTGCAGCAATCGCTTGAAGACCGACTTGACTCTGAATGGATGTCACCATCAGGGGGTTTGAAGCCGAGCGAGAGGTTTAGTGCAATGAATCCAATCGACCGAATAGTACTGGAAGCCAACCAAGCCCGGGATGCTACATTCCTTTGCATGATCGAAGCCTGTTCTGGGAGCGGGAAATCGCTTTGTGCTGTAGACTATTTTGTTCGAAATCCGGATGAAAGCATCTATTTTCTCTTCATCCCTACGGCGCATGGATACAGGCAAAGGAAATACGAGGAGCATGTGGAAAGCATCTCAAATCTGATAAGCAGAGCCATAGACTGCGATGTTTGCGGGTTGGCAAAGTATGCGATTGCCGAATCGGAGATTGGTGCAAGTATTGAGGCGTTCGATGTCGATGTAAACACAGATGGTAGGAAATGGCATGTGTTGGGAGCTCTCGGCTACCTGTGGAAGGAGACGAATACCATTGCTCCAGTGTCTGTGCAGGAGGCTAAAAAATGGAGACGGCGGTGGGTTCTCATAGATGAGACCATCCCACCTCAGAAGGACGAAGGCAGGCTGTTCTCACCAATTGCAAGATTAGTGCTTGTGAGGAAGATTTTGATGAACTCCAATATTCGCTGCATGATGTTGGGGACGGATGCTCTGGCCATGGCTCTGGTCATGAACTTCAGAAAGGGCTCAAACAGCTCGCCGTACAGTCGCGGTGCAGATCAAAGATTGTACTGCTTTACACATCGGTCTCTTCCTCCATACGTTCTGAGGTCGAGAGAAGAAGAAGAAATATTGAAAAGACTTTTCGGGGAATCACAGGTTTTTGAGGTGCTCGACCACGTCAATCCATGGCTCTGCTCACTTTTCTTGGACCAAGCGCAGAGAATGAAAGATGTGGAACCATCCACATGCATGCGACAAGTCTCGCGAATTCTTCTGGACGATGTCAGAATGATGAAACCGAACTTGAGAGACGAGTCGATCTACTGCATGTTTCAGATTGCTGCGCATCAGCATTTCTCTCCCTTGCACATCTCCAAGGGTTTTGCACATTTAAATGCATGGTATGGAAATCCACCAACCCGAGGCAGTATGGAGTCTATTGTTGGAATTTTCATAGACGAGCTGGGAAGGAATATGTATATCAATCACACGCCTATACCGCACCTGACCTCAAGGTTCTCGTCTGCCCTTCAAGATCCCATCACGATGGCTATTTGTGCGGGAGGAGGACGACCTTTCCGCCAACGATCAGCGCTTGAGGTCCTGCAGCAGATACACGAAGAGGCAGCGATTGGGAGTGATCCTTTGAGCGGGGATGCATACAAGCGAGATGGCAACGTGCTGGAGTCGTTCGGGGCATTAGTCATGATTATCAGCAGCTGGTCTCCTCCCCAGGACCTTCTGAAGAACATCGCGTTTCATTGCGGGTACAAGCATGAGCAGAGATGTGTAGACGACATTCTTGCGTCGATTGCAAGCAAAGATAGTTTCATAGAGATTCTGATTTCCTGCATGTCCAACCTTGTTCCTGTGCTGGTTAGAGTGGAAGATCATGGTCTCGCTGCGGTCTTGGGTTTCTACACTCGAGACCAGGACAAATCAGGCAGGGACGGCACCTTCGTGGGACCTGCTCCTGCAAGGAAGATGCGATTGAGAGGAGGAGCGGAGATGAAGAATTTGAATTCTCCGCATATCTCGAAACAGTCTTCAAATACGATCTCCAGTCTGTTGTCTCATGATCTGGATGTTAATCTTTGCATGGTACCCGAGATTTCAGAAGGGGCTCTTGAAGATTGCATCAAGGAGCTTAGCTACGAGACAGAGTGGCTGATATTGCATCTCAACAGGACAGGTGGCTGGACCGCCTTTTCGAAACAGATGGATGCATCAGATGACAAGAAGAGACAAGACAAGGAGGGAATTGAGCTTCAAGACAAGTTTGCTCTGGTCAAGAGAAGAGTGCTGATGGTCGTGGAGGTTGGAGCTCACACTCAACCTTTTTCCGAATAATGGCGCAATCTCTCCATCTCTCCATGCTGTGATTTATTGACCACCGGAAATGCTCCTAGTGGTCCTGATTGTGTGGTACGGTAGGGTTACTGTTTGTTTAAACTCTTCAAGTATTATCGATCACTTAACTTAAGTTTGGGGGACAGCAGTCGGCAGGATTAGGTTTGGTTCTCGCTGTCTTTTCTCTTCTCGCCCGGCGTTTGGCCAGTGCGACAGGAGTTGAGTAAAGGGAGAGTTGTCAGGGTCAAGCCGCTCCTCGACTCTCCTGATTGTCCTCGTACTGATTTTTAGCCTGACGTCCGAGTATCATGGGCCGGGGGGCCGGGCGCCCGGGGCCCGCCGCCGTGGTCACCGGGTCCGGTTCCGGGCCGACAACCGTGACCGAGCCCGCCGCCGGCCGTGGCATCGGTGACGGTGCCACGGTACACCGGGCCCCGTGTACCGACGGTGCGGCTAGTCACGAGTGCCTGCGCCGGCCAGCGGCCCCCCGGGCGGACCGTCCGACGCGGCCGCGAGTGACTGCAAGTTGCTGTCCGGCCCAAGTCGAATCATAAGTTTGCCAGGTTACTCAGTCCGAACTTCAGTTGTCGGAGAGTCGACAAGCGGCGCGGCCCGCGGCCCGGGCGGCCGGGCACGACTCGTGGCTTCAATACGGTGACTTCCCGCGGCCCGGCCCGCGGAAACTTGAAGCGGCTTCGGAAAGCCGGGCTTCGGAAGCCGGCCGGGCCCCCGGCCGGCCGGCCCGGGCCCCGGGGGCGCCCCGCCGGGCCCCGGCCGCCCCCTCAGTCACATGCCCCGAGGGCAGGTCACACGGTGGTATCTGGGAATATGAAGGAATCATGCGGTGCATGCTATGCCTGCTGTATCGCGCTCTTGTAGCCTCTCCCTCTCCCTCTCCCTCTTCTCTTCCCTCCTCCTCCTCCTCCTCCTCCTTGTCTGCTCTTCCCTCCTCCTCCTCCTCCTCCTTGTCTTCTCTTCCCTCCTCCTCCTCCTCCTTGTCTTACCTGCCTTCCTCCTCCTCGCCTCTTCCACCCTCCTCCTCAGCTGCTGCCCTTCTCAGCTGCCGGCTCGCACTGTCAGCCTCCTCTCTCCTGATCCTGCCTTTCCCGTCTTCTCGCGCATACTCGAGGCTCTTGAGGAGCATGCGAGGAGGAGGAGGAGGAGAACCGACTATGAAAGACTCTCAAAGCGCCCGCAAGCTGCCCGTCGTAGCTATCGATGGACCAGCCGCGAGCGGTAAAAGCACCCTAGCCCATCGCCTCGCGGCTCACCTCAGCTTCCCCTGCCTTGACACCGGTTTGCTGTAAGCGCTCAGCCTGCTATGAGCTCTGCGTTACCAACTTCCAGGTATCGAGCGACCGCTCTTCGCTTGCATCGCAAGGGGCTGAGCATTCCCGAGTACCGCAAGGAGGACAGGGAAGCGGAGGTGGCGGAGGAGCAGTTCGCCACCGAAGCATCCTCCCTCTCGGTGACAAAGTTTCTCTGCCATGCTCAAAGTCACTCTGCGCAGCTGCAGGAGCTGGAGGATCCCGAGCTCTCCTCGGACCTCGTGGGAGAGCTCGCCTCGGTGCGGAGGATTTTCGGCTGGTTGTGCCTTATGTTGTTTCAGATCGTCTCGGCGTATCCTCGAGTCAGGAAGGCGCTGGAATCGTAACGCTGCATGAGATCGCCTGACCTGTCCCCACTGATCCTGTCGCTGCATGTCGCCTCGTCGGATCTGTGTCCCCAGCTACCAGCGGAAGTGAGCACCGTCCGATCCCGACCTCAAGGTTTTAATCCTTGCTGCAGTTTCTGTATCAAACCTCCCAACGATGCTCGTGGAGCCGTTCTTGTCGGGCGAGACATCGGTCGTCTCCTCTAGCCCTTGCTGCGACTCACTTTCATGGCAGGGACAGTCATCTGTCCCGAGGCTGCCGTGAAGTTGTACGTTGAAGCAGATGTGAGGACCTGTTAAAATCTTCCTCCTCCTGCTCATGTGCAACCAGGTTGAGACGCGGGCTCAACGGCGGTTTCATCAGCAGCAGGAGAGTGGCAGGTGAAATTGAGAAGCTGCAACGAAAGGGGTCACATGTACCAACAGGAACGTCAGTCTGGAAGTGATTCTCAAGGCCCTCCAGGTCAGTCAGCTCTGCTCTCTCGTCGTCTCACGTGGACAAGTGACTCGCCTCCTGCAGGAGAGAGACAAGAGAGACATGAACCGCGACAGCTGTAGACTGCACATGGCGACTGACGCCGTCTGACTTCCTTGACGCATGTGGAGAAGTTGTGATGATGCTTGCAGGCTCTACTTGACACCTCAAGCTTGACCCCAGAGGAGGTTGTACCAGTTATCCTGTTGAGGTTCCTCTTGACAATCTCGTCAGGCTGTTCAACGTGCTCTAGAGCATGCGAGAAGGCAACTGGGCGACATCAATGGTAGCGTGTAGCTGGTACAGAGACAAGGCAGACAAAGTGAGCACTCATGGTATAATCAATTAAACACCCGTCATCATCCCTTCGTCAATTCTTTTCCAAAGCCTTCTAGCCATTTTATCTTCGAATGTAATGCTGCTGCATCTGATTCTGAAAGCCTCCGTACTGTGGCTGCATCCCTCGCGCTTGTCCGCGTTGTTGCATTCCATACATGTACTGCTGCTGGGGTGGCTGCTTCGGCTGCTGCTGCTGCTGCTGCTGCTGCTGCTGCTGCTGCGGATACTGTCCATATGCCTGACCCTGCTGCATTTGTTGGGCATTGCTCGGACTGCCTGTGAGCAGAATGACATCATTCGGCATCAGGTGCACTCGCCCGCCTTTACCTGGTCCCGGCATTCCTCGTCCTCTTCCCGACATGTTCGGCACTTGACCTCCCATCTGCGGCATCTGCATACCCTGCATCATCGCCTGCTGTGACTGTCCAGGTTGCGGCTGTAGCTGCTGCTGCTGCTGCTGCTGCTGCTGTGGCTGAAAACCGAGTAACAAATTCAGAAGAAGGGAATGATTGGGACAGAAACAGATCGCGAACCTTTTGATGCATAGGATTGTTGATTTTGATGGATGAATACAGTCCACCTCCTTGCATGCCGCTTCCCTGTGGCATCGATCCTTGCGAAGCGAACAGATCCACCTAAGAGCTTGATGAATCTTTCAAGACATGGAGGTGAGAACTAAAACCTGCTGCATCTGCTGTTGCATCTGCTGTTGCATCTGCTGCATGTTCGGAGACATCATCTGCATGGGCGATATTTGTTGAGGATTCATCTGCTGCTGCTGCTGCTGCTGCTGCTGCTGCTGCATACTCATTTGCTGCTGCGGGTTAGGCATTTGAGGAGCCGCAAGCTGCGGTTGCTGTTGCTGGGCTTGAGGCATCATGTACATGCCGTTCTGGGGTTGGTAGGGAACGTACGACATTTCCCGGGCGAGGGCCTCAGGGAGAGGTCCATCAATGGGCGCCAGCTAGCATGAACTTACAAACAGCACGCGATCACACGCAAGTCACCGTAGGAGATCTAACGATTGCTGCAGGTAAGCCTGCAGTCGGTACTGGAATGATCTCTTCTTTGCCCTCTGCTATATCAGGCATGTGTGCAGGAGGTCCACGCTTGCCTGAGCAAAGTTGCTCGTATCAAAAGAGCACACAAAGAACAAAATCAATTCAACCTTTGCCGAAGTTTTGGTACTTGAAGGGCGAGTTCTGCTTTATCTGATTCTCGAGATATCTAACTTTTCCCTGAATACCAGTCATTGATTTCTGTTACAAATAAAAGATTGATACCTCTGCTATTGCCCTTTTCTTCTCTTCATCCCTCCTTCGTTCTTCTGAATTGATCAACTGCTGTTGAAGTTCCATGACTCGTTTATCTATTTGAGCACTCGCACTTTGCTGAAAGTGATGGTTCAACTGAAAGATTGCAAAGGAGAAGCTCAATCTTACCTGTGTCGTAAGATCCATCACTCTTCTTTCCAAAGATCTCAAAGCATTCTCAGCCTGTACAAGGTTTAAAACAACGAATTCGGGAACCACCCATAGAAGCAACCTCTATTCTCTGCGTTTCTTCTTGTTTCTTCTCCATTTTGAGACTTTGTATTTGCTTTTCATACATGTCATTTTTGCGTGCATCTCCTTGTTGATTTCCATAAGTAGAAGCTGCAGAAGTTGATGTTTGCAGGTATCGAATTCTGCTGCATGTATAAGTGCAATTGCTTCAGAACACTCGTTACCGACTTGTCCTCAAGTTCTCTATTCCGTTCTTCAACATCTGTGCGGTTGGCCTTGAGTTTCTTCAGTTCCTCTTCGAGCTGCTTTCTTTCACGCTCTGAGTCCTAAATCGTGAAGTCAGCTTTTTCTATGCTTTGCCCGCACTAAAACAGTGTTGTACATCAAGTTTTGACCGAACTCTTTCAATCTCTCGCGTCTGCATCTCATACAACGCCCTATCCACGTTATTGATTGCGGCATCAACCTGGAACCAACAAAATCTCACAGGATTTACACCTTAGATTATAGCAATACCGAAGAACTCAACGGTGTGTGAGAGCTTTGATCACTGGAAACTGGTACAGGAGCAGCACTTCGCTTTTGTAAAGCAGACCGTTGATCGAAAGACTGGCTCAATCCTATGGAAAACCCTGTTTCAAACCATCAAAAGCACACGGATATGGAACTCGTTTGTCCTTACCTTGTTTGAAAGTGTTCTTCGTATCATGACGCTGTGTAAATGAAGAAGACGAGTTTTCATACATCGAAGTAGTATCTTGCGATGTGAACTGAGGTCGGACCTCATGGTTTGCTCTGCCAGAAAACGAATGGGGTCGGGCATGGTTCTCAATGGCGTTTTCCCATTTGTCCTTGAGATCTCGGGATGACGGTGATTGCGATTTGTTCTCAGACATCGGTTCAATCTTGAAATCTGCTTCCTCGTTGACCTGAAAGCCAATGCTCAGGTCAAGTGCAGCTCAGGTGTGCCAAAGCAAGGAAATTCAAAGAGTCTGAAAATAACCACCTTGGAGGCTTCAGTTGTTTTCTGGACCTCGTTGGATTTGGTGTCGATGGAATGGTTCACGCTGGAAGATGGAATTGTGCTGCTGGAAGACTGAATGCTCGAAGAGTTGCTAACAGATCCACTCCCTCTGGTCCATTGTCTGGACCAGCCCCAATCAACCGCCGTTTCTCATTCTTAGTCGGTTGCCGAAGCAATTCAACGTCGAAGTAGGTGCTTTTTTCCTTGAATCATTTTGTCAAGAGAATTCATAAGTAATCATAGTTGTACCTGTACTGCATTTGAATTCAAAGCTACTCCGCCGCGTAAAAATCCTAATCTGCAATAGGAGCCAATCGGACCAGGGATCATGGTTCGGAGAATGGATAGGGGTTTGCCAATAACCTGAATATACAAGTCAAACGTCAATGCTGCGAATAAGTTCGCTTGAAAATACATCGACGTTTCCAACTCGAACGACCATGTCTCCAGCTTTGACCATTCCTGTCCATCATTCAGTACCAGCAGTCAATGCACAAGAGATTCAACCAGTCCTCTCAGCAGACCCTCCTTCTATTAAAGCTTTGACGGTGACTCGGACAAACCCGGAAGGGTCTTCTTCCTCAACAAATAAGATTCCAACTCCTGTGAATCAGACGAGCTTGTCAGATCAACCTGTAGGTTTCGATCAAAATCAAAGTGAGAACCAGCTTGATTCTCCTTTGAGTCCTGTGACACCGATGGGGACCAAGAGCTTCTTTTGGCTTGTGAGGTGGAGCTTGAGGCATGCTGATGGTTCGGCATGGATCGTAATGCAGGAACATGTATCATCTTTGCTCAACTTGCAAGATTCAGTAAAGACCAGCTATAACACAATTAATATCAAACAAAGAACCCTTTTCAATTGCAACTCACCTGTCGGATGAATTACAGGCAAAATTTGTCTGATCAAGAAGAGCTTAAGGGCAGCCAATTGGCATGTCCACAGCAAGTGAGTCACGACAAAAATAGGCCCTGTAATTGCCTTCCTGATATTATTAAATCAGACGTGGAAGGAGGAAAAATTGAATAGCCAAAGCAACGCGATTATCTGCAAGTTGTGAACATCATGTGCTTCTGAGTATGACACATCAACTACTGGAATACAGTTTTTAAATCAGGTTCAGTCTGGAATCGCAGTCATGCAGCGGAATCAATCTGGTGGCAGAGAATCAAATATTGAATGAGGATTTTTTTCACCAGACTGATGGAAATTTGAATGCGATAGTGGAGTGGCATGTAAGCGAATGACTGGGGCGGGGTGACTGTGGGATGAAAATGTAGGAAGTGGAGGGGAACTTGGGAAGAATGAGAACAAGAGCAGACGTATCCGGAGCAAGAGACAGAACAGCTTTCATGAGCGCCGACGATGCGCTAGGGCGCCCATAGAGTGCATGCTAGTGGCGCTACTGCAAGAAGAGATCGCGCCGGCAGATCGGTTCCCGGTGGGGGTGGGGGTAGTTGTAATAAAGGGTGGGGCAGCATATCAGGTGGGTGGGCTCAGGAAGTGTGACTTTTGGGTCCGGTACTTCTGCCCAGAAATAAAACCAAAAAGAAGGGGTGGGTAATTGTTTTCTGTAGTGAACAGAAATACACTAGGGTGGATGGAATATGGGGTGGGGTGTAGTTTTCTCTCTCGTACCCAGGGGTGGGTTTACGCTTGGGTGGGTGGATCAAGACCGGGCCTAGAAACTACCTGCTTCCAAACCAACAGGGGTGGGTCAGGAACTCATGAAAGAAGGGGTAGATTTACAGGGTGTCATCGTTGTGGGGTCCGTCACAGATGAGGGTGGTGGAGGAGGGGTACGGTACTCCCCAGTGTTTGAAGTCAAATACACTTTTTGAGGCCTGAAATGAAGCTAGGCCGGTGGGGTGGGTTTGTTCAAACTTGTACCCCACCCTCCATTTACCCTCTAATCTAGGGGTCCTTGTCGTTGCCAATCTCAGAGTCAGACTACCCTACCCCTAGGGCAGTGGCGGCCGCGAACCCCCCGCCGTGAGCGGCGCCCGGACCGACCGTCAGGTGTCGTGGATCACCCCTCTCATGCCCGTCTTACACAGGGGTACTCTGACGATGTTTTCAACTAGCCCCTGGCTGAGGCGGCCCGGCACTGCATGTGCCTGAGGGCGGCCGGGCGCCGCGGCCCGCCCGGCTCCGGCC